ATTTTTCTCTAAATACTTTAAAATTTTAGCTTTTATGTTCAGTTCTGTGATACCTATCAAAGTTCAGGTAAGAAATACCACAGCAATTACTGTACAATAACCAGGTAAAGGGACACTTTACTATTACTGAGAGAAATGGAGGGGTAAGTGGACTATTGTTGCATTCTAGGTGATGAAGCTATCGAAAACTCAAGCAACAAACTAGAAGTCATGCCTCTTGCCAGAGAGAAGCGGGCTGGCCCCATTGCCCTGCTATTATTTCTTAAATTGGATGACTACAACAATTGATAACATTCACACACACACACCACACCACACACACAGCCAAGTAGTTGGCAAATAACCCAATCCGCTGATTGACCACACGATTCGGCATTCTGCCCTTTGATCTATCCAGATATGAATTTAGGGAAAACTAGGACATTAGTTAATCAAACAGATGCCATATCTGTGACCAGATTTATTGCTTGGACCAGTTGGATGATATTTTACACAATCAGATGTATAGTCTAAATTTCTGGCCAGTTTCTTTTTATTGGCTCCCTTGAGCTGAGAATGTTTGGTGCTATTGTTCTGCTTCTGTTTCTTCATCATGCTTGCTTTTTGTTTCTTTGTTTACATGCCATAGGCAAAAGTAGCCTATATATATGCAAGCAATTGCTGTTTCTTTTGCCTAAGCTTTATCTTAACACCGACATAGTGTTTGCAGTTGCGTTTTTTTTTTTTTAATTGACTTTAACTGACTGCAGAGCCAAGTATAATACATGCTAGGTAGCTTATGAGCTACAGTTTCTTTCAGAAAAAAATACAATAGACAGACTTTCCATTAAATGTAGGCTTTTGTACTTTCTTCGTTTCCTCCAGGTCATTAACCTCTCACCTATAATCATCTTAGCAAAAGGATTTAAGCAACTCTTATGTAATTGATAATTAGCAAAAGAGCCATGATGGCAAAAAGAAATACTCTTATTAAATGAGAAATCTTTTTTTTTTTTTAAGTAGGCTCCATGCCCAATGAGGGGCTTGAACTCACAACCCCGAGATCAAGAATCAAGTGCTCTACCAACTAAGCCATCCAGGTGCCCAGAGAAATACTTTTACTAAACAATTAAAAAAAAAAAAAAGATGAACATTTAAGCTCAGGAGTGAGGCTTCAATTCTTCATTGTTACTAAAAGACTCTTATTCTACCTTAAAATGCAAAAAATTACACACAGATTATACTTAAAGAGCAGTCTGCAGCAGTGAAAAATTGTTGGTGATACTCACATTTCATAATGTTCAATTAAAATGTTACTACTGTTTTATTTTTATTTTTATTTTATATAGCCAGGAGAATGTCCTCATGTAGCCAGGAGGATGTCCTTAATTTTTGGAGGTACATGGCTGAAGTATTTAGGGGTGAAGTATCATGATGTCAGCAATTTACTTTAAAACTGCTTCTATCTACTATCTATCATCTATCTATCTATCCAACTAATCACCTGTAAGCCAGTACAACACAATGTTAACTGTGACCTTATTCATAGGTTTATATGGGTGTTCTACTTTTCTGTACCTTTACAATTTCCATAATAAACAGTCCACAAACTTATTCACAGTTTTCGAGAAGCCGAATCTTAGGACACAATCCTCGTGTTGTGCTTTCTAGGGCTTTCGCACACATAAGAGAAGAAAGATTGCACCGTGTGCGCTTCAAGGCTCTCTTCCAGGTACAAAGCCTTCGGTGTGCAGGTGTGCAAGCTTTCTACGTGCTAGGAGGGTGAGTTTGGGGAAGACCGCAGAGACAGGCTCACTCTAGTTCATCTGAGCACTTCAACCGAGCTTAATTAAAATGAACCTAGACCGGAAAAAGTGTTAAGCTGCTTTGAGAAGGACATATAGATTCGTTTATTATGGCTTGCCACCATCCCCACAGGCAGGACATAGTAACTGCTGAGGCGAGAGATGGTTCCTGGAGCAGAACACACGCTCCGAAGGTCAGGGGCACACAGCACAGGGGCAGCATCTAAAGAGCAAAGCGGAAGAGGTCGGGGAGCCCAAGAAGCTAGGGCCACAATGCATATCTTTTGGCTCGGAGAGGGAAAGGGAATCGTGTGTACTCACTTCTCCTCAATCATTTGCTTCTGATACTCCTCATACTCCTCTCTAGTCATCCCTTGAGCTGCTGCAGGATCAGATGTGCCTCCTTCTTCTTTCTTTTCTTCAGACCCACCACCGAATCCCAAATTCTTTACCTGGTTACTTATCATCGATTTCACAAAGAAAGCCATGGTTTCTGGCCCCAGAAAAATAAAACCAAAGCTCAGACAAAATGTGAAGAAAGAAAGAAAGAAAGAAAGAAAGAAAGAAAGAAAGAAAGAAAGAAAGATCAATTTCTAAATATCCTCAACGACAGCAAAGCATTTAAGAGCAAAGGACTTTGTGTGGCCTCTTCTACTCAAGGGCATGATGACAGAGAAGAGTGGTTTGCGGGCCGTAAGCTGGATTAAAGAGATGAACTCCCTTAATATAGGGAGGCAGATGGTTCAGATTACTAAGGCATACAATCAGATGCAACCCACTGCTTTCTGAATTAGTACACTAAGCTAATTTCAGAGGCAAAAACAAAAACAAAAAAAACCCAAAAAACCAAAAACCCAAAAACAAAATCCCTCACATTATCTACTCCTCTCCCTACCCATTCTAAATTTGAAATCATAAGCGCAGCAGGGCTTCATCAAGAGTCTGGGTTCAATTAATCAGAGCTGACTGATTACAGGCCTGTAACGGAATGTCCAAATTCCAGCCCTGAGCACAACATCCTGTTGAAAACAGAGTCCAGTGAGACTCAAAACCCAAAATGCTTCATTAGGCAAAAATAATCCTTTGATCCATCATTTTATCTCATTGGGCTCTTAAGTCCTAGGCAAGGATTTGCCTTTTGGTGTGCTTGAATTCTGCACTGCTTCCGTGGTTACTGGGGCCCATATGTACGCAAATACTACTCAGCTGAGGCGAGTCTGAAGGGCAAGCCTTCGCTCTGCATCTGGAAGATCACCCTGGCCCCTCCTGCGCCGAAATGGCACATCTCTGCTTGGGAAGGATGCACCACCCTCGGTGCTCGAACCCAGAGGGTCAGCACAACGTGGGCCAAACCATCCGCGTGTAACAGGGTCATCTTCTCGTGCCCCCTTCCCCCCGGGGCCCTGCCCGAGCGCTCTGCTGGGCTCACCGGGGTGCTCCCATCAAGCTTTGGACAACGTTTTCCAACACGCAGCCGATTCTCAACGGCTTTCTTCAGGTCGAGGGAGGAATTGAGTATGGCTGAGACTTTCATCTGTTAGTAGCTTTCTAGTTAAAGCCCTCCAAGAGCGGGTGGGCGCAGAAAGGGATGTAGGCTCTTTGTAACCCGTGCTTAGGATTCTGTCTGGAAGCACGAGCCCTCTCGGGAAACGGGGCCCTCAGATGGCCGGGGCTGTGTCCTGGTTAATAATTCCCTACTTAAAGATGTTGCTATACTGGTCTCACTGTGAAGAGAGACCAAGGTTCGGGATGGGATCGGAGCCGAACGGAGTGCTCCAACCCGGAACGCACATTCACACCGGCTCCGCTTTCACTCTTCCTGGCACACCGCTTGGAACTTCATGCGCTCAGTCCATTGTCGCTCCGTCTCCATTTCTAACCCACTAGGCTTCCTCCCTTCAGCTGACAGGGTGAAAGCCACCGCCTGGGGTTGTTTGCTCAGTTCAGCACGACCCTCCTTTAGGGAACACTGCAGTGTTTCATGAGATTGAAAACCACCTTTATTTCCCAGGAAGAGGACAATCTGCTGAAGATCTGACCTATGTTAATCGTGCTGGTCCGAAAGTGAAACCCTTCAAGTTACACTTTTCCGTATGGATGCGGGGGAGGGGGTAATCAGGCATTACAGGCACGCGGGTGTGGCAGCTGATTACCCCCACCCCCCACCACCACCGTTTTCATGAAGTCAAATCTCTCATGGTCTCCTCAATAGGTGATTCCATTGAAAATGGAGTGTCTTTAAAATCTCTTTATTCCTCAATTTATTACAACAGCCTTTCCATTTGAGACATCCAATAAACTATCTGCTATGTGTAGAATCTTTTAGTGCTCCAGGAAAGGAAAATAAATATCCCAAGCTTTATGACATGGGACAACCAGGCGTACCCCCTCCAAAGGCTTCTCATCACAGCTGAATGTACCAAATCTCTATTATGGCAGGGCGGGCAAGGCACATCTCCAATGTCCAAGTGAACTGCATAACCTCTGACCAGTGTGAGGGTTTACCTGTGCATAGTCTAGTTTCCGCCCACCCCACCCTCCCCCAGCAGGCTCGCTCATCAGGCATTATGTCATTTCCTCTGATGCCTTTCAAACCCATCTAATTTACTTAAAGGTTTTATTTATTCTATGCAGTATTTGTTACAGCAGAAGAGAGTCCATTACCTTGATCTACCATTTTCTGAAACCACCTTAAAAGACTCTTTTACAGCGCTACCAATCCTGTGAGATAAATATTGTAAGGAAACTTAAGATGATGTTTAGTATATGGCAGAGCCAAGATTTAAACCCATTTTTGTCTGACACCAAAGTCCTCCTTTCAATACTGCATGGGCTCTCAAAAGTGGATGTACTTGGTTAAATCACTAGTGCTGGCCAAGAAGATTTAAGTACTTTTTAAAGCTGCCAATAGTAATGATTAAGAGTTCCAGCTTAACTACACTTTTATCAGTATTTGGTTTTTTTAAAGGTGAAAACATCAAAGACAGTTTTAATTGGTTGGTGTTTGTCATTACCAGCAAGGAAAAGCTATACCCATTCTCATTTCTACTTCTCTTGTTCTGATTCCATGTGTTGATGTTGAAGCTGCATGTGGTGGGTCACCTAGGGCATAGTGTTAAGCAAATGGCAGATGATAAAGGAGTCAGGATCACAACCCAGGCCTACCTGAAAATAAATGACTACTTATTAACCAAGATCAATAAAGGAAGAAGTAAATTTACTAAAATATTTCTTTATTTGAATAAGGTCAATGTCATTTCTTGAATTCCAGCTAGCATCAAGTAACAATCAGAAAAAAAACACTTGACAAAATGTTATCCAATTGAAATTAACAGTGGATAGAAAACCCTTTTAAAGTTTAAAAGAAATATATTAAACAGGCAACATACAGATCTAAAAAGTTGCAAGTGGTGATTTTACATTAGCTCTTATAAATAAAAAAATCCCCCACATAATCGTTTGTTCACTATCTCCCTGCTTAATAAGCACACGGACAAGGAAAAGGAAAAGGATAATCACATTTTAATATTCACAAGTGTTATTTAAGTTCTTTACAAAGATTGTATCTCTGCAACACATCGGGTCAGGCGATCCCTTATTCAAGTAATTTGTTTTCCCTAGTACAATTGTCCTAGATAAAATGTCACAAAAATCGCAATCAGGAACGCAAAAAGCTTTAGCAGGCAGACTGTGAGATGGGAGTTTACATGGCTTGACCATGATCTGATGATTCTGTAAGTTTAAAAGCCAACAACCAAAGTACCAAGAGCTACAGGCGACAATCTGGGTTTAGTTTGTGGTTGTTAATAAATCAAGAATTTTAGTAAAAAGAACATTGTAAGTATAAAAGAATCTGCACATTTGCTAATGTTATCAGCAATGAAAATGGCATATTATGCTCTCAGCTCAGCTTTAAACCAACAAAACAAAGTACTTATTTTTTTCCCCACTCCCCATCTTAGTGGTTCTCAGACACTAATGTGCTCAGAGTTACCTGCGGTGCTTGTTGCAAAGTGATACTCTGAAGCCCGCCCCTGAATTTTGATTCAGGTGGTTTAGAATGGAGCCCTGCAATCTGTATGCTTCACAAGCACGCCATGACCCACACGGTCCATGGACTACACTTTGAGAAACACTGATGTTCCTTTAATACATAACAAAACATTGTTTATCGTTTGTGGCTTCTTAGTAAAGTTTCAAGCTGAATAAAACATTCAAACAATTAGAAGACAAACAGGTACATGAAATAAAAGTATTAGCCGTTATGTAATTGGATTTCTTTTTAAAAGTGGTATCACAAGCACAATGACTTACACTAAAATTTTAAGATCAATTTTGTTTTAATCCAAGGCACCTGTAAAATACTTGCTGGTGAGAGAGAAGTTAACAAATTTAATTATACAAAATAGTACAGAAATGAAAGAATCCTGGCAGTGACTGATTTTCCCACAGAGCAAACATTTTTCTTCAGAAATGAGCCACATAAAGTCCATGACTTTGAGGAAAATAGACCGAATTTCAAATAATATGATGAACAGCCTGTGTGTGAACTGCTTTACTGATTTTCTAGTAAATTACTAAGTAAAAAAGAAAGATTCATGCGCTCTCCTAATAGCTGTCTGCACTTGAATTAGTAATGGTCAGCACACTTCCTCCTGCACCGCAGCCTGATAAATGCACCAGGCACACAGACGCCTGGTGCTCCCTTGGTGCGTTCAGGCACATGTGACCATGGATGTTCTAACTCTGGATACTTTGCCGGATTTCCCAACTTTCACAGCCCACAACATCAATATTCTTCTGAAGGTTTTCTTTTTTCTTTTTTTTTTTTTTCTTTCACAGATTTAAGAGCAAATTCTGTGATGATGTCTCTGGAACATGAATTTCAAAAGGTGAATACTACAAAGGAGAAATATCAGAAAAGCATTTTCTCTGTTAAAGCGACTGAAAGTAGAGTGAGTCGCCATTAGAATGTTCTCATTCAGCGTTCCAGGATAAATGCTAATAGAAAAAGTAGTGCTAGGACTGTTTGCGTACATAGTACGAAGTAGGTACTGCTATAATGCAGGCTTCCTCATAGTCTTTGTATAGATTTTAGGCAGTTAGCCCAATCTGTAAATGACATTTGAGAACAAATTTATGAAGTCTGGAAGAATGAAATGGTACTGTTTTATAAAACAGCATTATTTTTTATTTTGTATTCTATGACAAATGAAAGATTAACGATTTAGCTAAAAGAGGTAAAAAGTATTTTCAAGCCACCAAAAAACCAGGTCTACATCAGCTGTGAAAACATTAAGTTTACATTTTAAAATGTCCTTTACAGACTGTTTCTGTAATGCCTAGAACAGTTATGTACAAAGACTACAACTGCCCTTCCCAGTCTGACATTTCAAGGTTAAGCTTCCTAACAAGTGTTTCACGATATCCTTACTTCGGGCATTAAGAAAAAGAAGTCAGAAGTATTAATTCTATTTTTTAAATTTTGCCTTCAGGAGTCTTAACACTGCTTCTACCGCAGCCTCCTGGATTTAAAGGACACCAAGTCGACACCAGATCGTACAAAGTGACATAAACCAAAACATAGCAGATTTTTTCGTGAACTTAAAATATCCTCAGGACATGCAATCTGAGCTGAATTTATATACCATACAAAATGGGAGAAATAAGTTCCCTAGATTACAAACATAAATCCATATTCCTAAATAAATAAATTTATAAATAAATTCCTAAATAAATCCAATCATTTTCCTACTATTGACCTGATACTGCTGGCATGGAGACATTCCCGAGTGTGAGCAGTCCTGAACTGAGCACATCAGCAGGGGGAAGACAAACAGAGACCATTAACAGAGAAACGTTTTCACGTAAATGGTTTTTCAGGCAAAGAGCAGCTATTAATTGTCCTCCCCAAATTTCCTTTAAAAGTGGAATGTGTTATTGATAATCAGAAAGATACTTCAACATTCTGAAGCTTATCTTCTAGATCCTAAAGCTCTCAGACAAAATATTCTTTGATTTCAAAGGAGATTATATTAGATTCAAGAACTGCAGGACTGGGTCTTGGAGTAGGAAATCCTAATCCTGACCTCTAAAAAGACTCTGGTTATAAAATAAAATGGTGGGGAGCTCTTAGACCACATAGTCTAGGGGGAAGGAGGGAAAGTGTGTATTTATGTAAAATAAAGAAATTTCCAACTCTGGAGACAGGGGTAAGTTTCACATCGGGGGGGGGTGCCCTATTTTCTATTATGTACCATCTTATCAATATTCTTTTCAGTGGCTATACTCTACTGGCCAGAAATTCACTGAAATTTAAATAGATTTATGTACTATGCACAAATTTACATGTGGTTGTCTTTAATGTTTATTCTTAATGCAAATCAATGCTTAAACAGTCATTTTATACAAAATTTAATAATTTAGACTATGAAGCAATTTAAATACTTAAATTCCCTCAAAAAGACATTTTGTACATACATACATGATGTACACATATGAAAATGGTGGTCAAAAGAATTTTTTGGCAGCTGCTTCTTGCTGAGTCCTAAGGAAGAGGAGAAAGAAAAAAACTGAGAGTTCTATATATTTTACTTCAGAAAGAAATAGGATTCCTTAAAATTGAAATGCACATTGCCTTTTGAAGTATAAAATGCATTAAGATAAGCATATATTCTATACATGCACTCCACGTGACTGAGATAGACTACAAATAATACTTTCTTTGTGTTAAACCAAATTTTACAAGTACTGAAAGTTCTGTTAGGTGCACAGATAACTTTGAGTATTTAAAATTAAACAAATACAGAAAAACGTTGAGTCAAATTTTAGAGACTTACCTATACATAATATAACCAATGAATAACACCGTTTGTACCATTACAAATATAACGAAGTGCATCGTAGATAAGCATGATGGAAATGGTGGTAGTTCTGGGCATTTTGGTCTTTCATTCAATGGCTGTAAGGCAAAGAACTATTATAATTAGTCAAATTGGTATTTTAGAAACAGAAATAAATGCAAAAGCTTTATAAAATTCATGGTTAACTACATAAACTCAAGATTTTCATTTCTTTGTCCCATAAACATTTCTGCTCCCTTAACTTTTACCACTTAATATTTTAAAAAATAAAGCTTATTCAATTTATTAATTTTAAGTAATCTCTATGCCCTATGTGGGGCTGAAACTCATGACCCCGAGATCAAGAGTTGCGTGCTCTGACAGAGCCAGCCGGGAACCCCTACCACCTAACTTTCGGGAAGAGTAGTCAACATTGGAAGGCCTCTGCCTTCACGATCCAGTCACTAACGCACTGCCATCTGGCTTGAATCTTCAGCACAGTGATGATGATTTTTTGTGTTCTTGATGGTCACAGACCATGAATTCCCTGGACACACCCAGTTTATACTTGCTGTACTAGAGTAATTATTTCTAGTTCAGGCAATGACATGGTCACCCCCGCCCTCCATAAGCTGCCTGACAAATATAATGGCTTTTTCTTAGCCCTCATCCTCCCCAAACTCCTAGCAGTCAACAGTACTAATTAGTATTCTGAAAAATGTTTCTTTCCCTATGTCCATGGGTATTCCTTCTACTTTAAGGGAGTAATTACATGCCAGGAACAAAGATTTACTCGAGGTATCCGGACAGAACAGTTTCTAGGATTAATTGTTCTCAGTATGTTTATATCTGTGGGACAACGCTCTTCAGTGCATATATGTACCACTCACAGCATCAACCTGGACACTGCAACACAGGCTATAGTTGGTAGAAAGTAACCTCAAACAGAACTAAGGGAATAGACAACAACACTCTGGATGAGAGGTAATGGTCATTAAGAAAACTCTTAAGTCATATTTGAAAAATACGAATATCTAAGACATATATAAAATATAGGTAAGAAAGGCAGTATCCAAAAATATAAAGGAGAGAAGATTACATATTAAAGATCTAAGTTCTTCCCTTCTATCACTTACTAGCTAGTGACCTCAGGAAAGTTATTTAACATATAAACTTTCTTTCCTAAACGACAACAGGTATTTAAAATAAAAAAAACTTTTAACGACAGAAAGCTCCACATAACATATAAGGTATTAGGACTTCTGGGAAGGTAGACTGGGTAATATGGATCAACCACCTTGCAGAAGATGACTAGCAGATCTAGAAACAAATCCAGTCTAAAATAACACCCGTCTGAAGGCAAAGGCAGTGAACTAGATAGCAAGAAATTATGGGATCATCATTTGGTGGCGCGGAGGCCAAAGAAAGACCACTTTAAACCCATGAATCAGAAAAGAAATTAAAACGGAAATTAAAAGGGGCGCCTGGGTGCCTCAGTCGGTGAGCATCAGATTCTTGGTTTCAGCTCAGGTCGTGATCTCAGGGTTGTGGGATGGAGCTATGGGGCAGGCTGCACTCAGTGAGGAGTCGGCTTGGGATTCTTTTCCTTCTTTCTCTGCCCCTCCTCCTGCTCACACATGCTGTCTAAAAGAAAGAAATCTTTTTTTTTTTTTAAGATTTTATTTATTTATTCATGAGAGACAGAGAGAGAAGCAGATACATAGGCAGAGGGAGCCTGATGTGGGACTCGATCCCCGAACCTGGGGTCACGCCCTGAGCCAAAGGCAGATGCTCAACCACTGAGCTGCTCAGACATCCCTAAAAGAAATAAATCTTAAAAAAAGAGATTTATCTTAGAGAGAGAGAGAGAGAGAGAGAGAGAGAGAGAGAGAAAGAAGGTGTGTGTGTGTGTGCATGCAAGAGCTGGGGAAAGGGTAGAGGAAGAGAATCCACACAGACTTTTTGCACTGAGCTCAGGGTCCCACCACCCATGAAATCATGACCTGAGTCAAAACCAAGAGTTCCCACACTCAACTGACCGAGCCATCCGGGTGCCCAGCTATAAATCAATTAATCTTTAAAAAAAAAAAAAAAAAAAGAAAAAAGAAAATTAGGAAGAAAAAATGCTTATTGAAGGATTAATATAAATATTTAACGAAAATCATGGGATAGGAGAAGCAATTTCTGCTTCCACCTCCGAAGGGCTGATTAGGAACAGCTCTTCCACCTAGGACTAGAAAACAAGATATATGAAACAACTGTTATCAAACATTGGTCACAGGCAGTGAAGGCCTCTACAACTGTGACAGCCAAGAAAAAGGAGTCAGGCAAGCTGGGACCCATGGCAGATGCAGCTTAATGCCTGGAGGCAGATTCTGCAGTCCAGGGAGGGCCCCCAGAGAAAACTGAGTGGTCCTGCTGAACTGAGAAGTCAGAGACTACAGCTGAGGGAAGTCCAGGTGGCGGTGTGACACAACATGAAAAGGGATAATGGCAGAGAAAGCTTTGGAAGTTTGCAGAAGAGCCCTTCAAATCTTTGGCTGAATCTAATCTGCACGTGTATGGTATGAAAGTCCACAAGGCTAGGAAAGAACCACCTAAAACCAAACAATTCCCAGAGCTCACGGGAAGGGCTCTTTGTTCCAATGGGTAGAGGCCAACAATACACAAAATAGCTTCCCACAAAACACAAGTATCTGGTACAAAAATATCAATGGTGCTGGGACTGAGAAACCTTAATAGACCCATTCTAACAAAACTTAAAAAGCACACCCTGAAGGAAGCCAACTAATTCCCAAAACTTAATTGTAGAGCACAACAGAGCTGAATGCTAGTTAAAGGAATACAATAAAACCCAACAACCAATAATGTAAAGGCAGAAATGTTCAGCCACCAATGAAAAATTACCAGGTACACAAAGAAGAAAATTTGGCCCAGTCTTAGGAGAAAAATTAATTGGTAAAAATAGACCCAGAAATGACACAGATGATGGAATTACCCAAGAAAGACATTAAAACATACTATAAATTGATATCTGGGCTTCGACTGTAGAGAAAAATATAGACATGATGAGGAAATGGCAGATATCAAAAAGGGACCTACATGGACTTTCCAGAGATTAACACACAGAAAAATACTTTGAAGGAGCTGAACAACACATTAGACACTGCAGAGCAAAACATTGATACACCTGAAGGCACAGCAACAGAGGTGACCCATGACTAGAAAAAGTCTAGCAAGACAATGGAAAGAAATATGGCTAAAGATTTTCCAAATTTAACAGCAACTATAAACTCATAGAATCAAGATATTAAACCCGAAGCACAAAGAAAACAAAAGCAAAGCATATCATAATCGAACTGCTGAAGCTCAGTATCAGAAAAAAAAAATCTTAAAAGCAGAGAAAAAATACATACAAAGAAAATAAGACTGACTTCTCAGTAGAAATTATAAACTGTGATCGTCACATAATGGGGTTCAGACAGCTGTGAGAGGAATAAGGAACATCTGTGCATCACTACAGGCACACTGGTAAGTGAAAGAAAGCAGGAAGACAACTATTTACAGTATGCTACTATCTGTAAAAAGGGGGAAGATTTCATCACAGTTTCTGCTTATATTACAAAAGCAAAGAAACGGTGGACAGAGGAACTATAACCCCACCCACCCACCCACCCACCCAGTTACTCAGTTGTTCCTTACAGGGATGAAATAAAAAGTACAAGTGTAAAAGTTAGACTTCTTTGAATTCTATCTTACTCTGTAGATGTGAGAAACCATCTGAACTTTAGTCTAGATCCAAATTTACAGGAAATTTACATTGAGTATAATTATCAGTACAATCTCGTTCATAATTGCCATCTTGTTACTTTTCACTTCTTCAATCTGTCCCCAGTCTTTTATTTTTTACTTATTTTTTTTAAATTTTTATTTATTTATGATAGTCACAGAGAGAGAGAGAGAGGCAGAGACATAGGTAGAGGGAGAAGCAGGCTCCATGCACTGGGAGCCCGATGTGGGATTCGATCCCAGGTCTCCAGGATCGCGCCCTGGGCCAAAGGCAGGCGCTAAACCGCTGCGCCACCCAGGGATCCCATGTCCCCAGTCTTTTAGAGCTATTCGAAATACTCCTGTAAGAACAGATTTGAGCATACTAGGGATTTTCTTTTTTTTTTTTTTTTTTTTTAAGATTTATTTGAGATAAAGAGTGAGAGAGCATGCAACAGTCAGGGGAGGAGCAGAGGGAGAGAATCCCCAGGCAGACTCCCTGCTGAGCACAGCGCCCAAAATAGGGCTCCACTTCACACCCCTGAGATCATGACCTGAGCTGAAATCAAGAGCTGGATGCTTAACCAACTGAGCCACCCAGGTGCCCCTACATACCTGTTTTATTGCCAGAATAGCTGTGAAAATGCTGGGTTAAATAGGCAAATCTCCTAAGGGCTATGCCATTTCGTATCCCCTCAAGCAATGTGCTACTCTGTTTTCCTCAAGTCTTCGCAACAGAACATGTTGTCAGACTTTGGCTTTTTGTCAAACAGGTGTGGTATCACAGGAAAGTTTTATTTATTTTTCATTTCTCTTATTATTTAAGTAGCCTGAGCATCTGCTCATATATCGTACAAGCTTTTCCCAAGAACACTCTGTTCATTTCTCCAGTCCCTTTTTGTGCTGAGTTGTTCCCCATCAAATTTTTAATGTTGATCATTTCAAGAAGATTGTACTGGAAGGGGAAGAGGCAAATACTACAAACATTTGTAAATTTCATAAAGGTTTTGAAAGCCAGTAGTAAGTTAAGGAAAAACTTAAAACAGAAAAAACTTGTAAGTACCACAGGTCTATTGTCTAATACTATTTCTTATGCATATTAAACTTTGAAAACACATTACCTATTTTTAATATTTATGGCCAATCTCTAAAAATATAGACGGGGCTTACATTTAAAAAAAAAAAAAAGGCCTAATAAAACAAAACCAAACGAACAAAAAAAGTTTTAGTGGTTTTTTTTTTTTTTTTTTTTTTTTTTTTTTAAAAACCAGCCACTGGTTTTTAGTGGCTCAGTGGTTTAGCGCCGCCTTCAGCCCAGGGCCTGATCCTGGAGACCTGGGATCGAGTCCCACGTCGGGCTCCCTGCATGGAGCCTGCTTCTCCCTCTGCCTGTGTCTCTGCCTCTCTCTCTCTCTCTCTGTCTCTCATGAATAAATAAATAAAATCTTAAAAAAAAAAAAAAAGTGATTCAAGTCAGAAAGGAAAAGTTGCTGGAAAAGAGAAGAGTCTTAAAGAATGACGCTACCAGTCAGCCAGTCTCAGATCTGGGCTTCCTCATTGCCCAGACCAGAGAAGTAGGAGGTATCCAGCATCAGTCTGTCTCAGCAAAGGGTCAAGAGATGTTCACCATTTTTAAGCTGTTTAAAGATAGCATTACTGATAACAAGAACCATTTTTTTTTTAAAAGAAAATTTACACAAAGAATCTAGAAAACAGAAGTCTGAGACTGTGACAGCTCCAATGATAGGAAAAGCAAAGTACTTTTTAAAAAATTCTATTCAACAGAGTAAGGAAGCATGGAACATAAAGACATTTGAATCATATGGAATAATTCTACCTTGAATACTAAAAATAAACATTAGTATTAAGTAAAACATTAAAATATTTTCAGTAGAATATGTACTCTTCCTTTTCTAACTAAGGAAGACTGGTAATTATAAAAGTAGAAGGCAAGAGCTTACCATATTTCGCTGCACTAAGTTATCGATGTCCCGCTTCACAATGTGAAGATGCTCTTTGATGTCATTGAAGTGTTGAGTTGACTCATAAACTCCCCCTGCAGATCCAGGATGCTGTATGCCGCTGACCAGTCTGACAGTATCACTCATGGAATTCCTAAAACAGAAAATCCCTTTAGACAAGGGAATTGCTAGAAAAATGATTTTTTTTTAGTCATATACTATAAAAGTTTAGATATACTTTTAAGCCCAATAAGTTAGATTTTTAAAAAATTAATATTTAGGAATATTCAATTGTATTCAGGATTGGAAAATAATTTATAAAACTACAGTTTATGGGGCACCTGGGTGGCTCAGTTGATTACATGTCTGCCTTCAGCTCAGGTCATGATCCCAGGATTCTGGTATCAAGCCCAGAAGAGGGCTCCCTGTTCAACAGGGAGCCTGCTTCACCCTTTCCCTCAGCCCCTCCTCCTGCTTATGTTCTGCCTCTCTCAAAGAAACAAATTTAAAAGAAAAGAAAAGAAAACAAAACAAAACAAAAACAAACGGAGATGGGGCTTTAGAGTGAGAGTGCCACCCTTCGCTCTCTCAGGAGATGAGGGATTCAGGGTATGGCCATGACTGCCACTAAAATTTGGAGGGGTTGATGGGGTACTTCAGGATGAACTGCGCAGGCTGACAACATCCAGTCATTAACAACTGTTCCAACTGGGGGATGGGGTATGACGGATGGCTTTTTTTTTTTTTTTTAATTTTTTTTATTTATTTATGATAGTCATAGAGAGAGAGAGAGAGGCAGAGACACAGGCAGAGGGAGAAGCAGGCTCCATGCACCGGGAGCCCGACGTGGGATTCGATCCTGGGTCTCCAGGATCGCGCCCTGGGCCAAAGGCAGGCGCCAAACCGCTGCGCCACCCAGGGATCCCTGACGGATGGCTTTTATGCTCAACTTCTTTGTATGTTTGAAAATGTCTAAAATGAAAATAAAAATTGGTAAGGTGTTCTGGTATGCTAGAAATAGCATTTCAAAGTGAAGAGATAATAAAACTAATTCTGACTCTTATATTGTGACCCTTTAACAGTCAGAGCCTTGTTTTCTTTTTCTGTAAACTGAAGGGTACTGTATTACATACTGTTAAAAAAATTTTATGATTCTTGGTATATGAAAACCCATAGACATACACCACTCTCTCCATAAAAGGCAAATATTTCCTCTCTCTTTACAGTTTCTGAAGCCTATCCAGAAGGAAAAAAGCTCTAGAGGACAAATTCAGAAATCTGAGTTCAGTTTTTACCTTAACTTATGGTATGCATGACATTTGTTCTCAACGGGTGGGAGTTTATGAGGAGTGCTAACGACTCTAAGTAAGTGTTTTCATGGATAAAACAGCCAGATGACTAGGATTTACTAACCACTAATTGAATCTTAAGACGTTCTAGTACCACTGTTAAGTGAAGTAGGCAAAGCACAAAAGAGTGTCTAGAATATACTACCATTCATGTAAGAAAGAAGAGAATCTAAGAAAATACACATGTGCAGGAGAAATACAGGAAGAACAAACTAGAAATTAATGGGATAAGTTACCAACAGGGGGTGGTGGGAAAAGGCTAGGAAGGGGGGGAAATGGGAGTGAGGTGGTAGTGATGAAGAGGGGTACTGAACATACAAATTTCGTCTTAAGAGTCTCTCAGAACTACCATTTTCGCATATCCTTCATATACCCCAAAAACACACAATTAAAATCAACCAGGATATAGGAAGAATACAAACACTAACAAAGAACCTAACTCCATTATAAATGCATATCACAACCATACTGAAAAGGGTGGGGAGAGAACCGTACTAAGTAATTGGAAAATAGTGTCTGCATTACAAACTGGACGGTTAGACACAGAAGGACCTTTACATAAATCCATCAGTGAATATATTTCTCACAGGGATACAAGTTACCAATTTAATACCACTTTATGGGTACATTTTGTGTACACTAAAATAAGTAAATATATTATAGATAATAAAGACCAAATTTCTCCCTCCTGGAGGAAGAATTTTTAAATAAGGAAAGAAGGTGAAAATAGATTCTATGACATTCAGCCTAGTTGAGTCCAATCAGAATCCAAGGTGCCTGGATATCTCAGGTTTTTTTTTTTTTTTAATTTTATTTATTTATTCATAGAAAGAGAGAGAGAGGCAGAGACACAGACAGAGGGAGAAGCAGGCTCCATGCAGGGAGCCTGATGTGAGACTCGATCCCGGGTCTCCAGGATCATACCCTAGGCTGTAGGCGACGCCAAACTGCTACGCCACCCGGGCTGCCCACTCTCAGGGTTTTTAAATGCAAATGTAGAGTGATGGGTACAAAAATAAAGATGTGTATATTTGTGGGTTAGTATACATTCATATATTCCCTAGCTCTCTCTGTCTACTGAGAGGGCCTAGAAGCAGCAGCACTGCAGAGGTAATGAGCACACCCAACTGTCCAGATCTTGGGTTTCTAAATACCTTTCTTCAATAAAAGGAACCAAGGCTCACTGGAGAAGTGGTTGATTCTAGAGCTGGGGCAGAGAAAATACAAAATGAGACTAAGACACAGTGTAGCACCAGAAGGTAAAGAAATGCTTTTAAAAAAGATGGGAACTTGGGCAGCCCGGGTGGCTCAGCGGTTTAGCACTGCCTTCGGCCCAGAGCGTGATCCTGAAGATCTGGGATCGAGTCCGCATCAGGCTCCCTGCAAGGAGCTTGCTTCTCCCTCTGCCCACCCCCACTCCTCTGTCTCTCATGAATAAATAAATAAACTCTTTAAAAAAAAAAAAAAGATGGGAACTTGTTCAAAGAACACAGAAGCCAATCTGGAGGAGTTCTTAATTACCAGAGCTGAATAATTTGAGCAATAAATAATGATAGGGTAGGACTGTGACCATAGAATACATACCCATGAGTCCGTATGATATAAATAATTGATTAAATAAATAAATGGAGCAGAAGAGAGCTGGTCCTTACAGAATTCCAATAAAACATGGGAAGGAATGATGAAAATAGAAAAAAAAATCAGCATTTGGGAAACATCTCATTCTTGTTTCAGGCAAGACATCAATGGATGCTACAATTAGCAAGCAAAAGTTTAAACTGAAACAGGATATTTATATATTTACATGGTCTCAAAGTATCTTTCCCAAAATATAATTAATCACCGAGGGAAAGATAGTAACTTTAAAATAGGGAAAGCACAAAGAAACCACCACAACCAAGTGATCACGGCCAATGTCATGAACATGATACAGTGTTGTATTGTTGTCAAAAATGCAGAACCTCCATCCAATCACAAGTAAACACCAGACAGACCCAAATTGTGAGACAATGGACCAAATAACTGCTCAATGCAGAAGCTGTCACGGTCATGAAAGACAAGGGAGGATGAACTATTTCAGACTGTAGAAGTCCAAAGAGATAGAGCTAAATGAGATGTGTGTTGTTGGATAGGATCCTGGAATGGAAGAAAAGGTATGCATGAAAAATGGGCGAAATTTGAATAAGATCATTAGTTTAGTTAATAATACTGTTACCAGTGGGGGGACACCTGGGCGGCTCAGTGGTTGAGCAGCTGCCTTTGGCTCAGGTCATGATCTCAGGGTCCTAGAACCGAATCCACCATCAGGCTCCCCACAGAGAGCCTGCTTTTCCTTCTGCCTACGTCTCTGCCTCTCTCTCTCATGAATAAAATCTTTTAAAAGAATTTAAAAAAATAGTACTGTACTGGTGTTAATTTTTGGGCTCTGACAACTGTGCTATGTTTATGTAAGATCTGCACATTAGGGGAAGATGAGTGAGGGATACATGGAAACTACTATTTTTGCAAGTCTGAAGCCGAAATTAGATCAAAATAAAAAAATTTTTAAATGTTACATTATCCAGTCTATTTCTGAAAGAATTAAACTATTTAGGATTATAAATATTTTAATCATGAGTTTACAACTTAAAGATTTTTTAAAATGCCAGACAAGTGAAAGAAGTACAAATTTGCAGTTATAAGTGGAGTTGCCTTTAATCTCTCTATGTAGATATTATTACCTCCTGTTTAACCTAGTACTGTTTAATTTTCCAATGTTAAAGAACTCACTTTGACATTCTTGTTTGTCAAGGACTGTATTGGTTGGTGCAGTGCTCTGAAGTGCTGGCTTATAAAATGTAACATTTTGGCTGTTTCTCTACTCTAGGCATTGAAAGCTGTTAATTATCTGCTTAAGTGAATACTTTTTAGAAACTTATCAAAGTTCCAAGGACACAATACCTCCTCTCTGCTCCAACTCCTTGTTCAGTCTCAGAGTACAAGACCGAATGAAAGAGAGGTAGTCACGCAGCATGTTTCCTTGAAAATGGTTTTGTTTCATCAGAAAGAAGTTCCTGCATCAGGCATGCTTGTAATTACAGTCCTATAATGCTACCCTTACTCTTCTAGGATTTTTCACAGAATTGTTAGCTATTACATATATTCTTTTTATTTTAGAAATGTATGAATACTCCTGGATGTCAAGTAGCTGCGTGACAAATGTACTTTTTTAAGAGATGCTAAAACATTTTTTCTCTTCTGGCTTGGCACAATTCAAAACTTTAGGCCAGGGATCCCTGGGTGGCGCAGCGGTTTGGCGCCTGCCTTTGGCCCAGGGCGCGATCCTGGAGACCTGGGATCGAATCCCACGTCGGGCTCCTGGTGCCTGGAGCCTGCTTCTCCCTCTGCCTGTGTCTCTGCCATTCTCTCTCTCTCTCTCTATCATAAATAAAAATTTAAAAAAAATTAAAACAAAACAAAACAAAACTTTAGGCCTGTTGGCAGTTTTTGAATACCAAAGGTTCCTGCACTTGCCACTCCCCAATTTATAAAATGAATCTAGAAAAGTGATTCTTATCCTTATCCAGAATCCTTACAATAATAACGGGCTTGCATAGAAAAAGAGAGAGAGAGAGATAGACAGACAGACATCAGGAATTCTGGATAAATGTATCACCTAACAGATTTTACTTCTGTAGACTTACTTCACTTCATTTACTTGTCTCAGGATCTCATGCTGAGTGTTCACAATGGTATCCAGGTCTTGTTGAGTGACCTGGAGGAAAAATGGAAGAACCAAGTTTTGTAGGAACAGACGACAGAGTAGTCTTTCTTTCCTTCCCTCCTCCTTCCCCTCCATCAGAGGCTACCTAGGGCACACATGCAAATTTGTAAAGCTTACCTGTCCCTGATGCCCTGGGATCCCTGCTCCTCTTTTAGAGATCTCTTCTGTCAAGGAAGAGACATATCTTCTCTGCTCATCAAGAATCATATCTAACTGTCGGTTCAGCTGCTTGATTTCAAGATGGATACGATTTTGTCCTTCAAAGATTTGTCTCAGTTCACGGTCTCCTACACTCTCAAATACTTCATCTGCTGAAATGGAAATTGCAAATCAAAATGATCAAAACCACCAACATGTGTAGTTTCTGAAAATTCATAAGTGACTGAAGTATCAACATATGCTAAAATTAGAGTATCACCAATATGATCCACTCTAGTAGTAAGACCTCCCCAATAGTAAACATGCAGATAATTGATTCAATCATGACAAAATTACTATTTGTTTTTTGCTGTCTCTGGTGGCTGAACACTTATTATAGATTAGTTCTGAATTTTTTCACCTAAAAATAATTTTCTTTCAAATATGATTCTATTTATATAAAAGGACAAAACTAATCTGCATTACTAGAAATCAGGAATAGTAGTTGCCTCTGTGGAGGGAGGCCGACTTGAAAGAGGCATGAGGAAACATCTTGGGGTGATCAAAATATTCTATGTATTGACTTGAATGATGATGAAACACATTTGTCAAAATTCATCAAACTATACTCTTAAAATCTGTGCATTTTATTTATGTAATAAATTTAAAAATGAAGTTGTGACCATATGATTTTCCTTTTAAAGCTGACTATGCTAAAAACAAGATTTCAAACACTTTCTATAAATAAGCTTCAGGATATACTCACAAATCATGTGATATTTAAAACAAATCCAAGAAAAGAATTAAATTTCTTTCTTTTTTTTTTTAATTAATTTATTTTTTATTTATTTATGATAGTCACAGAGAGAGAGAGAGAGAGAGGCAGAGACACAGGCAGAGGGAGAAGCAGGCTCCATGCACCGGGAGCCTGATGTGGGATTCGATCCCGGGTCTCCAGGATCGCGCCCTGGACCAAAGGCAGGCGCCAAACCGCTGCGCCACCCAGGGATCCCTTTTTTTTTTTTTTTTTTTAAGATTTAATTTATCCATTCATGAGGCACAGAGAGAGAGGTAGAGACGCAGGCAGAGGGAGAAGCCGGCTCCTCGCAGGGAGCCCAATGTAGGACTTGGTCCCAGGACCCTGGGATCACGCCCTGAGGTGAAAGCAGACACTCAACTGCTGAGCCAGCCAGGCATCCCTAAATTTTTCATTTTTATCTTCATTAAGTCTGTTTCATATTATTGAATATTTAGGAGATCATATACTACCGAGAGGACAAAAACTAGCTATAGGCTTTATTAAATACAGCTTGGATCATGTGTGCTGATGGGAACGTTAAATAAAAGCAGATAATATAAGCCACTCAATTTGGACTTTTCATTTTATTTTTGACACATAGCACACTTGAGTTCAACACTGGCTTAAACCAATTATTTTAAAATTTGTAAATTTTAAAGTCTGGAGTTGTGTCAAACAGTAAGAGGAGGAGAGCCAGAAGATCATTTCGTATTACTTTCACAAGAATTTTGATATTTTTCCAGTATTATCTCTACATTAATAAGGTAATGTCTGCCATTCAAAGGAAAGACATAAACCCTAGATGATTTTATTCCACAAATATTTACTGAGTCTCAACTACTGGTCTACTGGTGAGCATTGGAGTTTTCTGGGTTTTGAGTGTTTTTTTTTAGGTTAGGGGGCAGAGCAGTAAATAAAAACACAGAATCCCTGTTGAAAGAGAGCCTGCGCTTCAGCGGATCACTGTTCATCCATATTACCTGGGATCTCCCACCCCATACTTTCCTAAAGCCACACTCTTATTGGTAGAAACATCAACCTCCAAGCCTTGTGAAGGCAGAAGATTCATTCACATATTGCTTCTGGAAACTACTTGGATATGCCAGACAAGAGCTCAAGGAAGGGACAAAGGCATGTGCCATAAGCCCTGTGTAGCTCTGAGCAAAGCTTCCTCCAACTCACCAGGATGCCACTGAAGGTCAGGATGGCCCTTCTGGAATTCCTCCTTTTTTTTATCCAATTCTTGCTGAAAGTGCTCAAACTCCTCCTGGTACTTTTCTTTTTCTTTTTCTGAAATTTCTTTATCTGCAGTAGGCTTTTTTTTGGAATTTAGGAATATATCATTAAAAAATTTCAAAGATAAGAAAAAATAAACCTCAATATACTTTCTTCCCCTTCATTTTAGCCACTCTACACTAGTAGAAAGGTTAACATAAAAATGTTATTTCTTATTTAAATTATAACAATTTACTCTTGCTACAAATAATTATAACAAAATAACAATACTAGCCACTACCATTTATCCAATGCCTGCTAGGAGTGCATTGTCTTAGGTAATGCTTCTGACACCATGAGGTGGCTAGTACCAATGTCTCAGTCTTACCAGTGAAGAAATGGAGCAGTACAGAGGTTAAGTAATGTTTACAAGGTCATACAGCAGTAACAGGTAGAAACAAGACCCAAACCTAAGTTGGGCTGCCCAAGTTCTCGGCTACAAGGAGATGCTAATAAACTGAAAATAAACTTCTGGAAAAAAAAAGAAGTGTATATGTACCGGTTCTTTCCCAGGCTCAGTCAACTGGAAAGTCAGAAAAGAAAGGACATCGTGGTCATCTACAAAGTTAAAAAAAAAAAAAAAAAAAAAAAAAACAGAAAAAACTCCGTAAGAGATAATTTTTATGGTTATGAAGTTAGAAAAATCTATTGTTTTAAAAATAATTAATATAAAAAATAACAAAAATTAGCTCTCAAGGCAAATAGTGCTTCCATGAGCTTAAAGATAAGAATTCACCAGAAAGATCTGTATCAGAAATAAACTAAAATTCACTTTCTTTTATCCTAAACCAGAATACTTAACACTGTTTACTATATAAGATGTTTAATAAATAAGCGATAAGAGAATGAACAAACAGGGGGTCAAAGTAAGCCAAAACTCTTAAACCTGACACCAAGAGCCTCTCACATTTCCCCACAAAACTCCTTCCCAGGCTGTGTCCCAGCCAAACGAGACAAAATACTGTCCTTCATGTATTTCTGCACCTTTCTTTCAACCTTTCTTAGAGTACTTACCACTGCCTGCTTTACTTAGTCTAAACTTGACACTGCTTCGTCCTGGCTTACTGGGACGTGTGGATTTTTCCATGTCATGCTGGCATTACTAATAGCATCTTCTTTTATTCTCAAAGCATTCCACTGTAGATAATATGACCACTCTATACATCATTCATATTTATTTCCCTCACACAGCAGATATTAATAATTTTACTTTATCTAAAATCATTACTTTAAAAATCAAATTAATTTCAGGCCATTTAAGCTGAAAACAGACTTAGCAGATCAAACCTCATAATGCTGACCTAAAATATCAATCCTGGCTAGTCATGTCAGCAAAGCAAGAGCAATTAATTCCAAGTGGCAATTTCTATGCTTTCTACCACTGTTATGGAGATGGAGATATGCAGCAAATGAAAGAGAAAATTTTAACACTTTAAGTGTGTAAGTTACATAACTTCAGATGAAGACGTATATAATAGGGCACTGAATCCAGGAGTCAGAAATCCAAACCAAGACTTGCCTTGGTCTGGCCATTACTGGCCTTGTAATATTTATAACGTACTTTAAGATTTGGCAAACTTAACTAAAAATAGGGTGAATACAATCTAACCTGTCCCTCCTTCCCTATGATATTATAAGGAACAATCATATATTTGAAAATAATAAAAAAATTATACAACGTATCACATAAACACAAGATGATATATATATATATATATATATATATATATTATACACACAAATATATTTTTTAAAGATTTTATTTATTTATTCATGAGAGACACACAGAGAGAGGCAGAGGCCCAGGCGGAGAGAGAAGCAGGCTCCATTTAGGAGCCCGACGTAGGACTTGATCCCAGGACTCCAGGATCACGCCCTGGGCCGAAGGCAGGCGCTAAACTGCTGAGCCACCCAGGGATCCCAAGATGATATATATTTTTAAACACAAGATGGTATTAATGTCAAATGAGAAGATTATCACCAGATATGGGGGAAATATGGTAACTATATCTTGTTTAAATTTTAGTCCCCAATAATATTTCCTCAGGCTACCAAATTAATTTAAATGTGCTGTGACAACTTTCAGGATCCTAAATCACTTGGCAAATAACCTATTTTAGCCTTGACTTAAATATCAACCAACAGCTGTATGCAGCGCCAGCCAAAGGTATACATATCTACAGAAGTCAGTAGAAAATTAGCAGATCCAAGATACTAAAAGATTGGCTCTGCAAACTATGTAAAGGTTACAGCTAGTCTTAAAAAGTTAAAAGTAAACAAGTCTACCAATGAAACTCAATTCACAAACTTTTAATATTAAAAGATAGCAAGATTTACCGGCAAGACCTCCAGTTGTAGCAGATATTCCAAAATGCCCTTGAGGAGGGATAACCATATTTTCCAATTTGGCACAAAATTCATAGTCGTTTTTATCTGGTGTGAAGCCATTATTGATCATTACCTAAAAAGACATACCACAGCTATAGCTTTTACAACAGACACTGTAAAATGAACTTCAAGTAGTCAACTTATGACTAATTCATCTTTATATTTGGTCTACTAACCAACTGTCAAAAAGCTATCAGTTTTCTCTATTATAAAGCATAATCCCCTGTCCATGAAATAACCTCACTTATTTATTAACATCATTATACAAGATAGTTCGTTTTAAAGTTTTTTACCCTACAATGTGTCAAAGGCTTAAAGAGAAATCTTTGATAATGTTCCATGAAAATCTTCCAAAATAGAAGACTCAGGGAACCACAATGATATCCTTTGAATGATTTATCGAGGAGAGGGATCAGACTCCTTCTGAAACCCCAGTGCTATAGCTCAAATGAATAGCATGAATTTACAGTTTTGACTACAGGTAGCTGAGAATTAGATTGCCATAGAAAGGAGTGACGTTCATTCAACTGGGGAGGGGGTGTTAGCAGAGAGTGAGCGAGCAGAAGTGACAGAAATCATATTGACAAAAAGGCAAAAAATAAAAAAACTGAAAGGGCATCTAACTTTCTATTCTGCAGAATGTATTTTTGAAGTAATAACCCAAAATGTCTTTAAAAGAATCCTGGAATCCCAAGGTAGCACAGGAAGCCAGCACACAGCTATTCTGATCCAGGCAAGCAGTGGCCCAGCCTTTCACTTCCAGCAACCCAATGTAAGAGTGGCTGAGACAGAGTGGAAGAGGAGGAGGGATGTGGCACCAGAGCAAGGCACTTGCTATTATTACTCATTATTACTTCCAGATGCAACTATCACTTGTCAGTGAGTGACAGGATTTAGTCACATACGTAAAGTGATATAGTAGTACTCTGTCCACATTTTTTGCAAGAGATCAAGATACCTGTCAATCAGTATGTAGGGTAAATCTCCAGGTAACATAGGATAGAAACGTGAACTCCTACGAATTTTTTTGCTTTTTTTTTTTTTTTTTTAGATTTTATTTATCTATTCATGAGAGACACAGAGACAAAGAGGCAGAGACACAGGCAGAGGGAGAAGCAGGGTCCATGCAGGGAGCCCAATGTGGGACTCGATCCCGGGACTCCAGGCTCACCACCTGAGCCAAAGGCAGAAGCTCAACCGCTGAGCCACCCAGGTGTCCCAAATTCTTTTTTTTTTTTTTTAAAGTAGGCTCCCACACAGAGGGGAGCACAAGTGGGACTTGAACTCACGACTCTAAGATCAAGACCTGATCAGTATCAAGAACCAGATGCTTAACTGACTGAGCCATCCAGATGCCTCACTACCAATTTTTTAAAACCACCTTCCATTAGTTGGCTAACATTAATAGTCTGTTCCCTCCAATCAGTAATGCTCCTATTTCAGTTTACAACATTTATGAATGGTTCTGCTCTACCGTGTTTCATTTGTTTTTTTAAAGATTTTACTTATTCATTCATAGAGACACAGAGAAAGAATGAGAGGCAGAGACACAGGCAGAGGGAGAAGCAGGCTCTGTGCAGAGAGCCCGATGCAGGACTCGATTCAGGGTCTCCAGGATCACGCCCTGGGCTGCAGGCGGCGCTAAACCGCTGCACCACGGGGGCTGCCCTCTACCGTGTTCCAAATCAGAATCAACTATGAGTAAGACATTGTCTTTGAGATAAAAAACAAAGGTGTTAAGTTAATCACATCCTAATTCTAATACTAAAAATTCTCAACTATTCCAGTACTTTTTCCTTGAACCTGAACAAACCGAAAATCCATAGGAGTCTTTACTGTCTAGCATTAATTCTTAAAAAAAAAAAAAAAAAAGAGGGAAAAATATATTCACTGTGCTCTGAGTTTGAAGGAATGTTAGGTATGTGATTGTACAGTTAGCACACACCCACTGATTAGTACCAGTAACACTTCTCATGAGATCATCAGTATTCACCTAATATCTCTTATTCATCTTATAGTTTCAACCCGTTGTTAAATACTACACTAGCAGTATTTAAAAATCTCTTGTTCTGACTATGTTCTTCTACCTACAGTATTTCTTGCTCCCCTTTGTTTTTTCCCTCTGAAGTTCAAACAATTGGGACAAGACAAATGTTTAGGTACTAACTCAATAAACATTTCTTGTTACTAAAATGAGCACAATATTAGGGACTGTCAGGAACACAGATATGATGTCTGCACTGACAAGTTTATGAACATATTGATGAGAAGAAACAAATCATAGTTAACTAATAATTCAAGACAACATATATTATTTAGGCCAAATATGTTATTAAAGAAAAAGAAACAGAGTTTCGGAGTGATAGATAATTATGAGCTGATTTTTGGGAAATCTGATGGAACAGGGATCTGACCTAGTGTGTTCAAGAATAAGCATCGCTCTGCCACACAGAGAGAAAAGGGGAGAGTACTACAGGAAGAGAGGAGGCTGAGCAAACATATTAGGGCCAGAACTATGATATCAGTCGTGTATCCCGCCAAGTCTCTCTCAAATGTATTCCTCAGAACACTAACTCTATGGACAGTCACAGGTATTATGTGCAAAAGTATGTCCATGACTTCCTAGAATCTTTAATGTGCTAATCTGCATAGCCATGCCACGTCTCTTCCAACTATGGAACTCCTTTGGGAGGACATTTTGTAGGACGACTGTTCTGGATATTGTTGGTATGGTTCACTGCGTTGGGTCGTGTAGGCAGCCCCCCTAAAACATGTGAACTAACATGCATGTCTGCACTCCGCGTGGCTGGTGTCTGGGTCCTGCCATGTGAAGGTGAGCGTGACTTCCCGATGACTCATGAAACAGTATAGGATGTGTAATAATTACAGTGGAACCTAAGTGCAAGGCAACTGTAATGGACTGGACATCTCCTCTATTCTGATACTTCTAAATTAGTTTGGAATTTAAGGCTGAGCCAATATAAAGTTTTCCGAAGAACTGTCTGCCAGTACAAGGCTAACTCATGATTTTGAGGAAAGAAAAATTTAAACATGTATTTTTAATTTATAAGTATTATACAACCAGGTATTGATGACATTTAATAAGCAAAGTTCATATTATTAGTAATCATAGAACTGCTAGCTGGATATACCCACTTTAAAAATACCCTAAACTCAATGTGTCTACAGGTAAACTCATTACCAACCCTCTGCCTTCCCACTTCTCACTCAAATTCAAACACAAACAAATGTACTGCTTCCTGGCTCAGTTGTACAATTGACCAGAAATCCAGGAACTCTCTTTTGACTCCCCCACTGCACATACCCTCCCACCCTCAAGCACAGTCTCTCCATCCTAATTGCCTCTCCTCTTCCCTAGCTCAGACTGCAAGTGGATTCTTGCAGGGAAGACGGTACTCAGTACCCGGTTCAAATCATGACTGCGTTACTTTTGTAGTATGACACTAAGTAACTTAAAGTGTCCCATATTCCATTTCCCTGAGAATAAGATGGGGATGACTGCCCCCTAGGGCTGTTGGAAAGAGTAAGTGAGAAACTGCATCTAAAGTACAGAATATTGGGTGGGGCCCATTAAGTGTAGGAGGCTCCTTTCACAGATACCATTATAAGAACACTGCTGCCCAAGTCATCTTCCCAAACTGCAAAAGAGATCATTTCACTTTCCTGCTTAAGACTGTAAATGGTTCCTTACAGGATAAACTACCCAAGACCTGTGTGACTTGCCACCCCCAACCTCTTAACCCCACTACCCACAGTCTCCTCTACCCTCTAGCCGTTTCAAATTACATGCTTTTCTCAAATTTTAAAAAGTCTCCATGCCTCTCTTCTCTTCCTGTAATATGCATCCCATCTAAGAAATTTCCACTTCCCCTTCCAGGTGCAGCTCAGCTCTGAGAAACTGCTCCTGACCTTCCCCACTCCCACCCACAGTTACAGGATTCTAACCCCTTGACTCCTTAGTGGTATGTGTGCCACAGCATGTATACCACCTAGCACAGTAATGTTACAGAAGTGTCTCCCCTCCACTAGACTTCAAGTTCTTTGGAGAAAATGATCTTTGTCTTACTCAGATTTGTATCCTGATGGTTTGGGTATGTATATAATGTGTGGCACATAGCAAGTAGGGTGCTTAAATGGGTACTGACTAAACGCAAACCTACTGGCAAGGTTTTACAACACAGGACCACGTACGCCAGTTCTTTAAAGTCACTTCTGTTCTCTCTTGGTAACGCTGAGTACATAAACAATATCCAAATTTACATGCCTTTAATTTCTATCAAAGACTCAAAACAAGAAGTCCCACTAGAATACTATTCACCTGAACATCTCTAAGTGCATGTTACTTACTGTCAGTGCCTTCTGGTAATATGTAATCTTTGCCCGGACAGGATAGGGTTTATTACGAAAGTCCCTCTGGCAACTTGCTAAAGCTTGATTAGCACCATCACTATAGTATGAGGAAAGGGAAAACAAACAGAAAACGTAAGAATGCTTCTTAATGTTTAGAAACTCACTATTTAAGATGATCAGTGTCCAGAAAGATAAAATAAAACCAAGCGATGACAAAGTCTTGGGATATTTCAGGTTACTTATTCAAAAGACACAAAGTTAATGCACCAAGTTTTCCCCATGATTCCTGTCAGAACTATGGATAATGTCAGAAGTCAATGTTACCAAGTGCTGACAGCAAGAGGAAAGTTCTACCCTTCGACCTGAGACGAGGGCAACAGTCCTTTATGTCAGGGCAGAAATGAAATATGTATAGAGCTTTTAAAAATGCAGGTGCCTAGATTCCACCTCACAACAACTGAAGAAGACTCACAAGGAGGCAGCCTTGGCACCTCTAGTTTAAAAAGCTCCACAAATGGTCATGATGAACCAGGATGATTAAAAATTATGAAGGCAGGAAACAGTAAACAGAAGTGCAGATGAGTAATTTTTCTTACAATTCACTGATTGGCTCAAAGGTAATTCCTCCCAAAACAAACCCGTAAAAATAAAAACTATACATACACAATTCATTCACATTATAAATATACCAAACACTTAGAAATCTTGTAGCCTATTGAAAATCTTTAAATAAAGCGACATGAAGGATGAATAAGGTGGTGTAAATTTCTTGGCTATTTGGTCAAGAGTTTCAACTTTATTTTTGAAAGATAAAGATGAAAGAAACACGACAATGGCATCACTGAGAACCAGGAACATTTTATAAGTCTTTCAAAATATTACATAACTTTAGGTTAAATAAAACAACACGTTTTTATGTTTGAATATGAGATGGTCTATCAAGTGAACTTTAAAACAGGACCATATTAAAATAAGACCTTTCTACCAAGTTATAAAATACATCCCAGGAAAAAGAATAATATCTCATCTGGAAAATACTCAGATTTGCAACAGTATTTTTACAACGTTTCCAAAAAGAAGCTAAAATCAAATAATACAAAAAGCACACACTTACTTTTGATGATCATAATGGATTTGTCCATTGTTGCCTATAATTACTATAGCAGGATTATTTTTCTAAAAATAAAAAAATGATTTGTTTTAAAGTCCTTAGATCAAACAATTCTAGATCATTCTAGAAGTGCTGTAAAGCCTTTTATATCTCTAAAATTCCACGACTCAAAAATTTTAAAATAATGAAAAGATTTCTATTTATTTAGAAAAAATTTAGTAAACTCTTAAAATCATTCAAAAACAGTCTCTCAACACCTCAATCAAGACTGATGATGTGATCTACGTGAAAAATCAACTACAACACATATTTGAGGGCTCACTGTGTGGGACAAGGGTGGGACCAAGGAAGCTTAGTAACAGGAAGACTAATGCACCTCAACATCGAGGAGTTATTCGAGTTCTCCTTTAAACTCTTAATAATGACCTCTGACAATCAGCAGAGAAACTACTAACTGAAACAAAGATCATCAATCCTAAGGCTGCTAAGGAGCACAAGTTAATTGTTTGCAAGTACATTTTGTTCTGAACTGTTTTAGGCTCTCCTAAAGATTTCATCAGAGAAATTGGTGGATCAAAAGGAGTGATTAACATACAAAAAGGTATTAACATGTGAGCTAGTAGCAGTAACACACAGGGGTGTTTTTATGAAAACAAACTATAATTCTAAACACTGCTGGTTTCACTGCCTACCTCTAAATGACTCAGGCTCATGCACCAAAATTACTAAGCACATATAGGGCACTGGGGAGGGAGGTCATTGGTAAGTTCTCAGAGCTGGAGATTCATTGAGACCTCAGGTTTGGGTGTATGACAAATCATGAGCAAAGAGCTTTTAATTTCTTAAGTCTCGGTTATAGAAAGACTAATCCTCATACTTAATATATAGTTCGGTGATTTCTCTAACTACTAACCTGTCAAAAGTGTTAATAAGCTGTATTTCTCATACCCTAACTCTGTTAGCAGATATAGTCAAGTAGGTCACAGTCCCAACAACAAATATACCTTTCCGTCATTGTCAAAAGAATCAAAAAATATTCCAACGCCATTCCACATATCAGCTGATCCAAACACAGGACCCTCCAAGCCTTGATCTTCTGTATACCAAATTGCCTGTAAATAGACAACAAGGGACATTTAGAGGCTAGTGGCATATGCATTGACATACATTTTCTAAGTTAAAGAAATTATCATACCAGGCCATCAGCTCCAATTCGACCTCTTCCAGTCACCCGAAACGTCACCTCAACTTCCCAGTTCTCAAAGGCTGCTTTTGTTTTTGTCCACACTGATCCTCTCTGGCTTTTTAAAGATGGTGCTATTCGAATCTGATCTGAACTTGGAATAGCATCTAGAACAAAAATCAGGGAAAAAGAACTTTAAGTTATAATTAGGTAAAACTCAATAAACCATCACCAAGCTGTTCCATATACCTATAGCCATCTAATTTTAACTTGGTAACCTGTACAATAATTTTGTTAGGAAAAATGACATGTTGACAGTTTCAACTTTAAAATTTTAGAGCTTTCTAACTGCCCTCCTACACCCATCTTTTGAACAGTGAAATAACTGAAAAAAAAAATAAAGCTGCAATCATACACTAAAAATTCAAGGGGCAGGAGGGAGGAAATTATGGCTTAAAAAGCAAACCAACTATTTGATTCCCATAATATTCTTTCTCAAGTACCTCAAAAACTTGTGTATTATTTTTTAAAAACTGCAAGCTATTCTACAGGTTTATAGATGTTAGAAAGCTCAAACAGTGTGAAAAGAACATACCACTAAGAATCAAGAGACTTATTCCTAGTCTCAGTTCAGCTGTGAGACTTTGAGCAAATAATTCTCTTACTGTCTTGGGTTCACCATATGTTCACCTGTAAAATGAAGGGGCTGGGCTTGATCACTTCCATAAACACCCCAAAAGTTAGATGCAAAATTTTGTGCACATATACATTCTTCTAGAGAGAGGGTCAGTTCTTTAGCATCAGCAGATTCTCAAAGAGAACTGTGGTTTCCAAAATGGTGGTTTGCATCTCTAAGCTAGGTTCAAATCCCAGCTCCACCACTTCCTAGCTACTTGACTGTAGGCAAGTTTACTCCATTTCTCTAATAACCTCACAGGCATGTAAGTGCATAGAAGTATTTCAATGTTAGCTAGTCCAGTTATAGGACTAGGTATTAAGGCATCTACCGGGCCAAAGTTTGAACAATTCTAACACACCCTCTTGGATATTAACTAGTTCTGACACCCATTCTGGGGAATAACTGTATTATGTCCTTACAGTTAGAATGATCTGACAAAAGACAAGTTGAGATACTTTAGTAAGGTCAATCACCGTCTCTCACCCTCACATTCAAGCACGTAAAGGTAGGGGCAAAAGTACCACGGAAAGAGTACCGGACACAGAATCAGAAGACCTGGATGTGAATTCTGTTTTACTGACACTAGCTATGTAGCTTTCCAAGAACCTTAACCTTTCTGAGCAGCAGTTTTTTCATCTCTAAGACCGCTAACACCTGCCTTGCCTGCAAATGATCAAGTCAGAGACTAAAGGTGAAAGCTCTGAGAGCTACAAAGGGTTACAAATTGCCCTGATCATTTCTGTGCCCTTATGAACCCAGGATGTGTACTAACAGTACAAAAGGACATGACAGTTAAGAAAAGAAACACCATTGATTTGGTCTTCATTTGGGTATGGATGCAATGATCCATGTTTAAACTAAATCTTAAATTTCTCTATTTTAAAAACTGCCTTAAATAATGGATCTCAGGGAAAAATGGAAAGGGAAAAAAATGATCAATGGAATTAAGAAAACAGACTGAAAAGCTACCGTGATGATGAAAGCAAGGGGTATTCATAGCAGGGGTTCCCAGAGTCAATATGCAAAAAAGTCATGGCTAAAACACTCATCCCTTTATTTCAAATCTGGTCTAGTTATCCAACTTTGATTTACTCAGGGAAACTATTTGACTTTTTTTTTTTAAGATTTTATTTATTTATTCATGAAAGACACACAGACAGAGGCAGAGACACAGGCAGAGGGAGAAGCAGGCTCCATGCAGGGAGCCGGATGCAGGACGCGATCCCCGGACCTCAGGATCACACCCTGAGGCGAAGGCAGGCTGAGCCACCTAGGGATTCCCACGACTTGACATTTTTGCAACAGACAGGCTTAGTTAGACCAACTACCTTTAGAGAAGTTAAGGCAGCTAATTTGAGTGGTTGATTAACAGTCTTAATTGGCTGATGCATGTGGTGTAAGAGTGAAAGACCCAGCAAGCGTGGGAGGGCAGAGATGCAGAAGTGAAAAAGTGAGCAAACCAACCACCACTACTGAGAACGTCATCATCATTCCAAACCAAAAAACAACCCCCCGCCCCAAATTTGTGTTCGGTACATCTGCAGCAGCTTAGTGCGGTAGGAACCATGTTACCTTGATAACAAAAAGCCCAATAATACATGCTTGGTGGTTGGCACATGGTAAATGCCTCCTGACTCACAGAAATAATTGCACTCTACTTCAAATACTTAATGACTTGGTCATTAAGTCAAATTGAAATTTTATACCTTCAAATTATACATTAATTTCAGGGAAATGAGCCTCCCTCATAAGTGTGTTTCCTATTCAGTGATTACTTTCTAGAAATGGAACGTTCTGTTTCAAGCACCAGGAGTTGTAAAAAACGGATGTATGCAAACCTCCTATAGACGCCTGTTTTATTACACATAAAGATGAAACTCAAAATGCCAGAATTTCTCACCCCACATAAAGGCTTTTACACCCCTTTTGTTTCAAAGGGTGCACCCGATGGCCACTGAACAGAGGTTACAGCGCACCAAGTGTTAGGGCTGATTCCTTAGTCAGCAGTGACACATCAGCACTAGAAAGTACAGAGACGTTTTCTTTCACATGTGTAAAGATCCAGCAAAGCTGCTCTTATCTACTCACAGTGACAAACACACAGAGAGAGATTACTTTCAACTTGAAGAAAAAAAAAAAAACAACTAAGTATGACTTTTAAAAGGCTGCGTATGTCATGTTATTCCCATGTATCAAGTGCAGAAATACCAAAAAAAAAACATATATATATATATCTCCCCTCTACTACGTAAAGGGACAAGTGCGGCTCTGATCACACCAAGGGTCCATACAACCGAAAAGACCGAAGACCACAGCAAATCCCTGAGCGAGGCAAATGCCAGGTGTGGTTCCCGGAGCGTCACAGCGTCCTCGGACACAGCAAGTCTTAAAACTACCCAGAAAGCAGGGGCGGCCGGGGGGGGAGGGGGGGGGGCGCTCAGTGGTTTGGCGCAGCCTTGGGCCCAGGGCGCAATCCTGGGTCCCGGGATCGAGTCCCGCGTCGGGCTCCCTGCGTGGAGCCTGCTTCTCCCTCTGCGTCTCTCATGAATGAATAAATAAAATCTACCCTGGAACCAGCACATGCCATCTCCGGAGCCCTCGGGGCGGCACTGACCGTGGCCAGCAACCCCGGGAGGAGGGTCCGGGAGCAGCGGGCGAGGTCCCGGGTGGGGATGGCGGGATCCCGGGACGGCGGCGGCGGATGGGGCCGCCGGTCTCTGCCGGGGGACGCGGCGTTGGGGCGAAACGCGGCTCAGGCCAGAGTGGGAGCGCCTGGAAGTGGAGGAAAGTAACTGAACGCCTCCAGACCCAACGGAAAGAACGGACATCGGAGACCGGAGGGCAGGGGGACGGGGGGGGCGGGGAGGGGGCGGCCCGCGCCGACCTGCGGGCGCGCAGCGGGGGAGGGCAGAGCGGAGGGGACCCCGGGACCCGGCCCCGGCCCCCCGCCCTCCTGCCCGGCTTACTCCCCGCGTGGGCCCAGAAGGGCACAGTCCCGTCGCTCTGCACCAGGTGCGGCCCCTTGAAGCTGTATTTGTACTCGAAACGGCGGTGTGGCTGCGCGGCGGCGGAGCCCGCGGCGGCCGCGGCCGCAAAGCCGCCTCCTGTGCCGTCGCCCCCGGCGAAGCGACTAAGCGACAGCAGCAGGGCGCAGAGAAGAGGCCGAACCCCGGCCCGGGGACCCCTCCGCCTGGATCCCGCCATCTTGGATTCTGAGAAGCGGAGGCCGGCGGGAGGGGGAGGGGCGCGGGAGCCGCGGACGGCCAACAGGGCGCGCGCTGATTGGTGGAGCCCGAGAGCCCCCGAGGGCAAGGGTGAGCCCCGCCCCCGGACTCCGCTCGCCGCGCGGCCGCAACTCTCGAAGCATCAGTGGGCGGGGCCCCGCGGGAGGGGGCGGGGCCCCGCGGGAAGGGGCGGGGCCTGGGGCGGGGCTGCCTGCTAGCGTCTCCTGTCCCCCCCCCCCCCAGGGTTCCCCGCCTCTGGGGACCCGAGAGCGCGTGCCTGCCTGCAAGAAGCTTTCTCCCGCCTCATAACAGGCCTTAGAGGTGGAACCCGCGAACCCTGACACCTGTGTCCTCTCTGGCTATATGCAATAAACCGTCCCAGTATTTGTTAGCAAAAAGTCATTTTTTTTTAAGATTTTATTTATTTATTCATGAGAGACACAGAGAGAGAGAGAGAGAGAGAGAAAGGCAGAGACACAGGCAGAGGGAGAAGCAGGCTACACGCAAGGAGCTCGACGTAGGACTCGATCCGGGGCCTCCAGGATCACACCCTGCAACTCTAAACCACTGCGCCACCAGGGATGCCCGAAAGTCATTTCTTTTGATGTGATACTGATTGTTCAGTAGCTGGCCTTCATCGGGTGGACTTCGCAGAAACAAGTATTTCCAGAAACAAGGCATAGTTTAGTGGTATGATGGTCCCAGCCCACTGAGCCCCATCAACTTGTGTTAGGTTAGGGCATTTCAAACAGGAGGCCACCACCTTAAGCTAGGAAATTTGAATATTGTCCTTGAAAATAGGAAGTGTTTCTAATGGTATTATTTTTTTTAATGATTTTATTTATTTATTCATGAGAGACACACAGAGAGAGGCAGAGACACCGGCAGAGGGAGAAGCAGGCTCCCCATGGGGAGCCTGATGTGGGACTCAATCCCAGGACCCCAGGATCACAACCTGAGCCAAAGGCAGATGCTCAACCACTGAGCCACCCAGGTGCCCCTGTAATGGTCTTAATGGAGAAAAGGAATGGGGCAGGTACGTTGTTAAGAGAGAACAGTTAGAGAAGAGGTGACCAGAACTTGCCATGAGACCAGAGTTGGGCAATAGAAACAAAAGAGACAAGAGAACTTGACACAATGAATAACTTCAAAACGTAAGGCTTTACCTATTTCTCACCTAATCACACCTGATCACGCCCTCTACCTTGTATTTCCTTAGGTTTGCCTTTCAGTGGAAGTAATGTTTGCCTCGGCGGATGTTACTAAATACCTGCACCCACTCCATTCCTCCTTCTGTTCTGTTAAGAACACTGTTTTGTTCGGGGTGGCAATATGTCCAGCTGAAATACTCATTTCTCCAGCCTGCAGGACATCTAATGAGAGGTAGGCAGAAATGCCTGAGGAGGGGGGTCACAGACCAAATAAAAAGGTAAAACCTCACTAGATGAAGGCTTTCCTTTTTCCTATTTGTACTGCTTACTGCCTGACATGTGTATGCAATGCCTAGAGAGCAGCAGCCACCTCGTGACCACTAAAAATGATAGCACAAGAAACCAGAGGAGACCCTATCTTTAATGATTTTTTTCAGCTCTCTGGCAGGCCGAGCCTGTCTATCTCCAGACTTCTGTTTTCTGAGATAAGGCCCTCACTCATTTAAGCTATTCTTTCCAGGTTTTGTTACCTGCGATCCTAACTGGTATCATAGCTCACATGTATTGAATGCTACTATATATCAGGCACTGTTCTGGGTGATAAATATATGTTCATTCATTGAGGAGGAAATTGACCCAATATCTTCATTTTAACATCAAAGCTTTGCCTTAGTAGTTTCATTTATAAGAAATAGTCCTCTTTCTCAAACTATATGTCTATCTTCCCTAAAATAACATGTTGAACGTCTTAAAAGCTGTTCTGCAAGTTTTTCCCAATTATAAATCAGTCATGAAATGTAAAGGCTTCTTTACAGTAGGATGACATTTTACTTTTGGGTCAATACCATAATGTTGGAATTTTGTGTGTGTGTGCATGTGTGTGTGTGTGTGTTTTAATGTATATGTTTTGTAAAATATGGCAAGATCTACCACTCGCCAATGGCTGAGGAAATTTTTAAAAATGAAACTCCAATTTTTAAATCAGAAGGGGTATATAAATTATGGAAGTCCCTTGCCATGCTACTGAGCCCAGCACAGAGCTGAGAAATGAAGTAGCAGTATTGGGGCTCACTTTGGTAACAGACTTCTTGTAACTTTCCTGGTAAGAGCAGTGACTCATTGTATACCTCTCCTATGCTAGTGAAAAGTGTCCTAGGTGCCAGGAGACTGGCTGGACTGTCCCATTTATAAAACCGATGGTGATGCTTTGCTTTTAAATGAGTAAAAAGAGGGTGCCTGGGTTGCTCAGTCAGTTGAGCATCTGCCTTTGGCTCAGGTCATAATCCCAGGGTCCTCGGATCACTCTCTGCTTGGTGGGGAGCCTGCTTCTCCCTCTCCCTCTCCTTTTCTCTCTGCCTGCTACATCCCCCTGCTTGAGCTCTCTCTCTCTCTGTCAAATAAATAAATAAAATATTTTTTTTAAAAAAAGGAAAAAGACCAGGAGCAGATTGGGAGGCATCTTTTCTTCATGGTCTTCTCCCCACTAATTAAGTGTACTCATTCTTATTGGCTAGTATCAAGGATAAAAATCTATGGTCTATGAGACACTTACCTGGTAATAGACCCTCATTGTCACTTAAACTGGCTGTAAAAAATTTCACTTAGTTGCAGCAAATATAGCATTAAAACTAAGCCTACACGACAATTCATTATTTGTGTTAATGGATTAACTATTTCAGGGGTCTCTTAATGACTTTAAATCAATCATTTGATAAGAGTAATGAAAATGATGATATTATCTGCTTGATCCTTCAGTGTGATCATTCATTCATTCATGCATGTGTTCATTTGTATTCGCTCATTAAGCATAATTGAATACTCCACTGTACTAGAGACAAGACAGGGAGAACATAACCTACATAAAGAATTCAGATTTTTTTTAAGATTTTATCCATTTATTCATAAGAGACACAGAGAGGCAGAGGGGGAAGCATGCTCCCTCTGGGGAGCCTGATGCAGCACTCGATCCCAGGACCCCAGGATCACAAGCTGAGCCAAAGGCAGATGCTCAGCCATGAGCCACCCAAGTGCCCCAGAGGATTCAGATTTAATCTTAAACAATGAGAAAATTATTAGACATATTTTAATAATGAAATGTTTTGGGCTAAAAAAAACAAATTAAAAACTCAATTTAAAGTGACTGAAAAGGGGCAGCCCGGGTGGCTCAGTGGTTTAGCGCCGCCTTCAGCCCAGGGTGTGATCCCGGAGACCTGGGATCGAGTCCCACATCAGGCTCCCTGCATGGAGCTTGCTTCTCCCTCTGCCTGCATCTCTCATGAATAAATAAATAAAATCTTTTAAAAAAAAGTGACTGAAAAAATAAGGAGAACTAAGTTTTCCACAGAACTGTACGTTAGAGGTAGGACTGGGTACAGGAAGACACGAAGCTCTGCTGTGCATCTTTGAAATTTCCTTGGCTCTACCTTGTATTCACTTTGTCCTCAGGCCTCTCTCCAACTTCTAAGACGTCATATTTCACGGGAGAAAGGAAAAAAAAACTCTTCCTACTTTGGAAGATGTTCTTCATTTTTCTTTTTCTTTCTTTTTTTTTTTGGTGAAGATTTTATTTATTTTTGAGAAAGAGAGTGAGAGAGCTTGTACAGAGAAGGGAAGGGCAGTGAAGGAGGGAAAGGGAGAGAATCTCAAGTAGATGCTGTGCTGAGTGTGGAGCCTGACACTGGGCTGATTCCAGAACCCTGAGATCAAGACCTGAGCTGAAACCAGGAGTTGGACACTTAGCCGACTAAGCCACTCAGGCACCCCAAAACTTCCATTCTTTATTCAACTTAGGTTACATGTCCATCTTTAGGACATTAACAGTAGCCAAGGGAAGACCACACACTGAATCAATTACTGACAAGAGTATGGGATTACTAGATTTGGTTAAGAACAGAGGTCCTTAGATCTTAGTGTGGTTCAGAATTTCCCATGTCCAACATTCATAGTTTAGTAGGTCAAGGACCAGGGCTCACACATTTACATTGCTGATGAGTTCCAGGTGATGCTAATGCTGCTTGTTTGGGGACTACACTTTGAGAATCACTGGCTTAGACAAATCATGGTGTATCTCAGGAGCTGGAGATGGAGTTGGCTCCCCTGAGCTACATGAGCTATGTGTTGGAGCAGTGAATATCTGACCAAAGCTGGGGTCCAGTTTAGAAAGAAGAGTGATGAAATGAAATATCAGAAGACAACCAACAGCATCTGCTACACTTGTTTAAGCAAGAACATGATAATGCCATAGATTTTATACATTATTAAGGATGCAAGGTGGAAGAGTGATCTAAATTAGGAGGATGTGATTATAAGAACAAAGAGTTTCCAGTTCAAGATTATACCATAGTTCAAATAATCAGATCTTTGTAATCAACAGAGATGCAAGATGTAAGATTTCTGAGGAAGATGAACACAGATTTGGATTGCATCTCTGGGTAGAACAGAGTATCATGTCTCCTGGAATATGGGTCATTACTGTCTCCATAAGGCCAGTGTGTAATTGCCTAGGACAGGGCCATAAGCAATTCGCTTAAATCCTTCTCAGGATGGTTTTTAATTAGGGTACCTTTTATAGGTGAAGGTGTGATAATATGGAATTTTGATTGGTCAATCTTTTCATCAGTTGTATCTGCACCCATTAGTCAAAGCAGAGTAAGAGAAACAAAAAAGTGTTTCCCAGTGGTGCTCTTTAAAACTCCCTGGTGCCAAGAGATGCTATGAGATACTGTGAGGATAAGAGTTTTATAAGCAGATGAGTATAGGAGACTTGAACTTCCACATGGACATTAAAGTGTTAAAAGCTCATCTCATAGAAATTCTCTGGTGATGAAGCCCTGTTGATTTTG